AAAGAATGACTTGACAAGGTCATACAGTTAGTTGCTGTGCTGGAAACTAAATGAATTTTAGTGTGTGTTACCTTTCACATTACTGTACTCCAAACTTGTATTTTTAACTTATCAATGCAAATGCCTTAGCCACTTTCCAATAATCTTTCCTTTGATTGATGGCCTAGAATATCATGTTTTTAGAGCAGTAGTGAGTGAAAGTGACTAATAAATAGCTATACATTTAACTAAAGACAGATCATCAAAAAATTATTTGTAACATAATGCAAGTAGAAAGTCACCGTAGGGGAAGTTAAATCTTAATAACTATGACAACAATAGTAACATTTATTGAGTGTTTTCTGTGTGCCAGACATTTCACATCCATTATTTCACTTAATTATAACAATACATATTATGGTATGCGCCATATTTTCACATAAAGAAACTGAATTTTAGAGATTTAATAGCACAGTTATTCATGGAAGAGCTTAAACCCAGTGCTATCTGAATCCAGAGGCCATGCCATAAGGCAGTTTATGTGAAGAGACTTTGTGTTGCTTGAACTTAAATCTGCTGCAGAACTTGACAATGTAGGAACTTTGGGTAAATATTTCAAGTGGTTTGAGTTGGAAGAATAATGAATTTGACTTAAAATGTCTGTGTGAGAGAAGGAAACTGGTGAGAGAACCTGACTCTATCTAGGTTACGCATGGAAATTGGATATTTAGAGGTAATAGTTGAAATCAGAAAAATTAATAAAATCTTCATGGTTAGAGATAGAAAGCAAGTAAGTCAAGGATGGAGCCATATGGAATACCAGGTTAAGGTGCTAGGAAAGAAAAGTTCTGAGAGGAAAGAAGGTTCTCCCAAAGAGGCGGGAAGAAACCAAGCTAAGGGTGTGTTTTCACTAGTTATCAGAATAAGTAATCAGTATGTCTCATACTGAAATGTGCAACAAGTGAGATTAGATTCCCAGATGTGCTAGAGGAAACATTAATAACCATGAAGTTTTAAAGGAGCTCTTGGGATAAGAAGCAGATATCTAAGGAAGATAAAAGGAGGTCGAGGCCTTCGGGCAGTGCTTCTCAAAGTGTGGTCCTCAAGCCAATGCCTGTCCACAAAGTGTGTCTACTAGTTTCTGACAAGGTCAGTTCAGAAACTGAAATAACCTTTTCTAGAAACTTATATAGAACAACTTCATTTCACTGTGATACTCAAAAGTGATATCTATGGGCTTGTATATGTGTTCTTTTTGCTATTTAATCTAGCCCTTCATTTTATTGTATTTTACAAAAATATTAGTCTACAATGGATAGATCAGGGCAAACAAAAGAAGAAAAATAAACAAAACCCCCTTGCTCTCCGTTGCATTAAGTGTGAGAAGCACTGCCCTAGGAGATAGTCTGTTCATTGGCCACGGAGAGCAAGGAGAGGAGAAAAAAAATCGGAGAAAACGGATCAAAGAGGAATATTTTGGATTAGTTTTTGTTTTGTTGAAGAAATACAAGAAAGAAAATAATGTAGAAGATAATAAAAGTCGGTGGTATGGAGGCTATAAATACTAGTAAGATCAGGGCCAGGAAGGATTAGATTTAAGGGAAGACTTAGAGCTAGACTCGGTATTTTCAACATGATGACAGAATTTCTTTGAAGGATACCAGAGAATTTGGATGACCAGTATCACTTCAAAGGTATTTTAATTGTAAAGCAGCTAGTGGCATGACAGTGCATCCTCTGAGCGCCCGGGCAGTGATGGTGGTGGGTGGTTTGGAGGGTTCTGAAGAAACCTGAG